AGATGGCTACGCCCCTGAGGCTAGGTAAAACTGGGTGTCATCTGCATTGCTGTGATAGGCAATTTGGTTCTTTCTCATTATTTGACTAAGTGGAAGCATATACAGGTTGAACAAAAGTGGCACAAAAATTGAGTCTTGAGGGACTCCGCATGTCATGGACGTCCACTTAGACTTATGATCTCCTATACTCACATAATAACCTCTCCCTTCTAAGTATGACCTGAACCATTTGATTGCCATCCCAGAAAGCCCGACCCAGTTTTCCAGTCTCTCTAGAAGTATGTTATGATTGACCGTGTCAAACTCAGTACTGGGATCGAGTTGACCAGCCCTGATATTTTGTCAGAATCAGAATTTAAGCGAATATCATTGATTATCTTTATGAGCGCTGTCTCTGTGCTATGATTCGGTCGGAAACCAGACTGAAAATTGTCCAGGTATCCATTTGAATTTAAGAAGTTGTTCAGCTGATTGAAAGCAACCTTTTCAATAATCTTGCCAATAAAAGGAAGATTTGATATTGGTCTATAGTTGCTCAATATGGTGTTATCCAGATTGCTCTTTTTCAGGAGGGGCTTAACAATTGCAGTTTTCATGGAGTTTGGAAAAGTCCCAGAAAGAAGTGAGGTGTTAACCACTCGTAAGAGATCTGCTTCTAAACAGTTAAACACTCTTTTGAAAAAAGATGTGGAAAGTGTGTCATGGCAGCAGGTTGACAATTTAAGGTTCTGTGCTATTTCTTCCAAAATGTTGTGGTCGAATCTGTCTGACCTCTGCATAACTTGAGGATGTGCTGATCGCCTTTCTGATATTATTGATCTTCTCAGAAAAGGAGGAAGCAAACTCATTGCATTTGCTGTCGGAGAGCATTTTTACTGGGAAACTGACTTGGGGGGTTTGTTAGTCTCTCAACAGTAGCAAAAAGAGTGTGAGTGTTGTTTAAGTTACTGTTTATAAGGTTTGAGAAGAAGCTCTGTCTAGCTGTGCCTAGTTCCACATTGAAAACATGAAGGTGTGGCTCTGGTGTTTACGGTGGCTGAAATATGTTGTCCTGTCTTAAGAAGTGTATTTTTTATAAATGTCATATGAAGCAAGTTGTCACATGTCCCATTCTCGTTTGTTCACAAATTTTTAATTATATATCTATACGTTCATG